CCCTCCACCAAAAGACTCGTTAGCTGCCAACACTAAGTCTGCTCTGGTGGGCATGTTCAAACTGTTGATCCATTCTCAGACTGTCCCGCTCAGCGAGCCGTTTTCTTGCCGTCTTGCCAGAGAACAACAATGACGTAGTGGATCCTCTGAGAACTTTTCTGGGCATCAAAAGATTTTTGAGTTATTACGGGAAGTTTTTTACTCACAAAAAGGACAAGGATGTGTTCGGAGCAGGTATGCCATTTGAGCACATACGTGTAATTATTTACACTATGTGAACATTTCTTGGTAAAAGTAAATTTCTACATTCATCTCCCCCGCCCCCAATCCTTAAGTTAATAGGGTCGTCACTGCACTGCAAAATAAATTTGACCCACAGAGAGTGAGGACCCCGATTGCGTGTATAAGGTCAAGTAAGTTTTGAACGACAGCCTGGGAAGAATTCTAAATGTATTATCTTTTTGCCATCCTATGTGTGCTCACACTCACACATTCATCACGGGTTTTTACCAGAATCTATTCTTCAAAGACCATTAGTTAGTCTATCAATTAGTGGCGTCTGTGGCCTAGCTGTGCTACCGGACCGGTAATCGTGAGATTGGGGGTTTTGGGGGGTCGAGATGATCGAGATTGTGTCGATGAGGGCATAAAAACACCAGCATTTAAAAAAAATTAAATGTGAGGCAGCGTGGTGAAATCATGCTCTCGTCAAAACAATCAAAGTGAAGAAACTTTTTTCCTCAGGTTTGTGAATTTTTGTCAAATCTTTGTTTTTTGACTCGACACCTTTCATGCCCATTAAAGAACTATTTCTGTGTGGATTTTTTTCTGAAAAACATTGATTTAAAGCACAAAAATGTACATTTTCTGTTACCACCGACTCTTAAGCTAAGGAAATAACTAATCGTTGGCGGCCATTTTCTTTTTAATTTTACCTCTGAAAACAGGTAACCCCTCCTCCTTCATTAGCAAATATCTCGACTTGTATTCAAGACAAATGGATTTTTTTTCATCTAAATAAAGACAAGTGAACAAGCTTTAAGATGATACCAATAACTCTACATGCCCAAAAATTGACGAGAGCCTGATTCCACCACGCTGCCTCACAAATATATAACAAAGTTAGTATCTCCTCAAAACAACTTAACTGGTGTCTGCTAAGTGGCAGTTAGGTTCTTCATCGTAACAGGCAGGAGACAAGAGTTCAATTCACAAATGGGGGAAGTTTATTACAATGTTTTATTTACATCTCCGTCAGTCTGCTGGGATGCAGTTGCTCTTTGTAGGGGTGGTCAAAGCAGCCAGCTTCCAAAATAATTAACAATGTAGTTCATCGGTTGACACATTTCTCTCGTTACTTTTATCTCCAGAAAGTCCACAAGGAGTTTCTATGGCTTTCTGATGCTGGCTTAGTTCGGCCCGATCCAGCCGTAGTGGGCACCCCGTATTACAATAACGATCTTTATTCATCTCGCAGAGAGAAATTTGTCTTGGTCGTTTACAATGACAGTAGTGTTACAAAGGCTATGAGTGCATTCACGCATACACGCAAGGAAGGGACAGTGAATACATGTACTACGTGCTGAACCACCCCTCTCTCTCTCTCTCTCTCTCTCTCTCTCTCTC